AATACAAGTGAAAGATCATGATTTTTAAAAATGTGAGATAATGATTCTAATATCTGACCTGTTGGCTTTAGTCCATCTATGTAGATACAACACAGAAATGGAGGTTCCCAATAATCAGATGGAATAGGTAACCTCGAATATGGCTTCCAATGATCTCTCCCTGTTAGTATTCATGTCCTGTTGTGATCCCTTCTCTTGATTGTGGGCTGGAACTAGTGACTCACTTCTAAAAAATAGATAACTACAACAATGGTGGTCTATTAGTTTTTTGTGACTGCCATAACAAATTACCAGTTACCAGTGGATGGCTTAAAGGGACAGAAACTCATTCTCTCATAGTTCTGGAACCCAGAACTCTGAAATCAAGGTGTTGGAAGGCAGCACTTTCTCCCCGGGCTGTAGGAGAGATTTTGTTCCCTGCTTCTTTTGGCTTCTGGTGACTCCTCCTTCGCTTGTGTCTGTATCACATCACTCACTGATTCTGTCTCCACATGGTCTTCTCCTCTGTGTGTATCTTTTAAAGATACATGTTTTTGGACTTAGAGTTCATCCAATTAATCTTGGATGATTGCATCTAAAGATCCTTAATTATACCTGCATAGACTCTTTTTCCAAGTAATGTCACATTCACAAGTACTCCAGGTTAGGATTTAAACATATCTTTTTGGAAGCCACCGTTCAACTCACTACAGATGGGATGACATTTCCTAGATTTGGTTATAAAAGAACGTAGCTTCCATCATGGGTGATCACTTTTTCTTCTTTGGATTGACTGTTCAGGAGGAAGTCAGCTTCTATATCATAAGGCAGCTCCATGGAGACTGAGTCTGGAATTGGCCTCTTCAGCCCCAGTTGGGCTGTGAATGACTATAGTTACAGCCGACAGCTTGACTGCAACATCATGAGACACCTAGAGCCAGAGGTACCAGCTAAGCTGTACCCACATTCCTGGTCCACAGGAACTGTGAGATAATTCATAAACACTGTAATAAGCTGGTAAGACTATGTCAGTGATAATTAAGACAAATAAACAATGGGCACAGATTCAACTTTTCATATAAGCAAAATTTATGGAGTATCTTCTATTAAAAAAATTTCAGTAAGTTTTATTTAGATTTAAATTTATATCTGTGATCATAAATAATGACCCAATTCTCAAGAATCTTATACTCTCAGGGGATAATAGACAAGCACACACTGTGTGCTATGATAAAGAAATGTACATGGTGTTAAGGTTCACAGCACATAGAAGGATCTGGTCCAGATTCCAAAAGCTGGGAATGATATTCTAGAGAAGGTAGGTTCTGAACTTGTAAAAACATACCTACTCATAGTTATGTATTAACAAATTCATTTTTATACAAGGTGGCAGATTGATGGCATTGTTACCGTGCCTCACTCACTTGGAAAGAAAAAATGGTATGTAGATAGTCACATTGTGAATTTTCTTACAAGAAGCAAAGCAGGAACTTAACAAGAAAACTGAAAGAAATCACAGATGCTTTGAAAGAAATGGTAGGCTACAGCCTGCATCTTTTAAGCCAGGCAGAAAACCAAGTCTCCAGAATGTGGGAGTAGGATAAACTGCCTTCAGGGTATACAATCCTACCACAGAATCTGGCAATTCAGGCTACAGGGGAAGGCCTTACACTAACCGGTGCTGGAACTAATTTAGGGAGCAGTGGGCCTCAAGCGATCCACCTGCCTCAGTCTCCCAAAGTGCTGGAATTACAGGCATGAGCCAATGCGGTTGGCCTAGATTAAACTTCCTAAAGGATGGTATGGTTCATCTGATTTCCTGGCAATTGTTCCTCATGATATAATAATGAAACACAAATGCCTAATTATAAAAATCCAAATCATGAAACACATTTCCAACTACTCTGCTATATCTACCTTCTTTCCAGTTTCCTGACCCTCCCATCCCTATAGTTTGCCAGCCCGGTACCTTTGCTCCAAGTTGAATCTCCATTTGAATGTTTGCCTGCCAGTGTCCTCTCTACCTTAAAAAGCACAATACAAGCAGTCTTTTTTTCTGAAAGTTTCTCAATTCCCAAGCTAGAACTGTTATCATTACAAACTGCCCTTTTATTTTACTTCTTTCTTGGCACTTCATACAGCCTACTTAAACATAAGGAACCAAAATGTATTTCTTATCTTGCCATATTTTATTGAAAGTTAGAAGTGACAAGGAACTATTTATGTGCCTTACCTTCTCTAATGTTTGCCATCCTCATTACCATTGCTAATCACAGTGCTTGATAACTATAATAAGTTTTTAATAAATATTAGTTGAATAAATGTATACTTGATAATATTTCTAAATGGTGCATTTTTAAACAATGTGGAAGATTTTACATGTATAATATTCACTTTTCTTTCTTTCTTTTTTTTTTTTTTGAAATGTCTCACTCTTGTTGCTCAGGCTGGAGTGCAGTGGTGCATTCTCGGCTCACTGCAACCTCTACCTCCCAGGTTCCAGTGAATCTCCTCCCTCAGCCTCTCAAGTAGCTAAGATTACAGGCACCTGCCACCACGCCCAGCTGATTTTTGTATTTTTAGTAAAGACAGGGTTTCATGATGTTGGCCAGGCTTGTCTTGAACTCCTGATCTCGGGTAATCCACCAACTAGGCCTCCCGAAGTGTGGTATTAATGGCATGAGCCACCACACCTGGCCTTATAATATTCACTTTTCCTCTAGGCTTAGTTATGTAAGGGAATATATTTGCTGAATACAGGTGAGTAAGGAATTGCTACTGCTTACAACAAAAATTTAAAATTTTAATTTAATTTTCAATATTTTTTCAACTTAAACTAGGTTATTTATTTATTTTTTTGTGCTTTAGGTTCTGGAGCACATGTGCCGATCATGCAGGATTGTTGCATAGGTACGTACATAGCAATGTGGTTTGCTGCCTCCGTCCCCCCATCACCTATATCTGGCATTTTTCCCCATGTTATCCCTCCTCAACCTCCCCACCCCCCACTGTCCCTCCCCTATTTCCCCCCAACAGACCCCAGTGTGTAGTGCTCCCCTCCCTGTATCCATGTGTTCTCATTGTTCAACACCTGCCTATGAGTGAGAACATGTGGTGTTTGATTTTCTGTACTTGTGTCAGTTTGCTGAGAATGATGGCTTCCAGATTCATCCATGTCCCTACAAAAGACACAAACTCATCATTTTTTATGAATGCATAGTATTCCATGGTGTATGTGTGCCACAGTTGCCTTGTTTAGGCTATCATCAGTGGGCATTTGGGTTGGTTCCAGGTCTTTGCTATTGTAAACAGTGCCACAATGAACATACATGTGCATAACTCTTTCTTATAGAATGATTTATAATCCTTTGGTTATATACCCAGTAATGGGATTGCTGGAAACTAGGTTTTGTTAGGAAAATTATTTGAATGAGAAAACATTAGTCACTGATTCAATATTTTCAAAAGAAGCTAATGAAAACTTTAACTTGTTACCACCTTCTGAAGGCAAACTCAGCAATAACAATAAAAAGCCTTTAAAAGATCATAGTCATTGAGCCAATTATAACAATTTTAGTAGTGCTAATAATGCAAACCAAGTGATATATAGATTGTTTGATCTATAAGAATATTCACTGAATAATAAATACACACAACATAAAAATATTTTAAATCATGTTATATATTAACAGATATAATAGAAAATACAAAACACTAATTCATATTCTCAAAGAATAGAAGAAAACAAATTTGTTAGAAAAATAATAAAACAAACAAAGAATGTATATAATTGATATGGCTTGGCTATGTCCCCACCCAAATCTCATCTTGAATTGTATCTCCCGCAATTCTCACATGTCATGGAAGGAACCTTGTGCAAGATGATTGAAACATGGTCTTTTCTGTGCTGTTCTCATGATAGCGAGTGGGTCTCATGAAATCTGATGGTTTTTAAAATGGGAGTTTTCCTACACAAGCCCTCTTCTCTTCTCTGCTGCCATGTGAGAAGTGCCTTTCATCTTCCTCCATGATTGTGAGGTCTCCCCAGCCATATGGAACTGTAAGTCCATTAAACCTCTTTCTTTTGTAAATTGCCCAGTCTTGGGTATGTCTTCATCAGCAGTGTGAAAACAGACTAATACAGTAAATTGGTATCAGGAGTTGAGCACTGCTGAAAAGATACCTAAAAATGTAGAAGTAACTTTGGAACTGGGTTAACAGGCAGAGGTTGGAACAGTTTGGAGGGCTCAGAAGAAAACAGGAAAATGTGGGAAAGTTTGGAACTCCCTAGAGACTAGTGGAATGGCCTTGACCAAAATGCTGATAATATGGACAATGACATCCAGGCTCAGGTGGTCTCAGGTGGAGATTGAGGAACTTGTTGGGAACTGGAGCCAAGCTGACTCTTGCTATGTTTTAGCAAATGTATTGGTGGCATTTTGCTCCTGCCCTAGAGATCTGTGAACTTTGAGCTTTTTCAAAGGTGCAGGGTGCAAGCCATTGGTAGATCTACCATTCTGGGGTCTGGAGGATGGTGGCCCCTTTCTTGCGGCCTCACTAGGCAGTGCCCCAGTAGGGACTCTGTGTGTTCACAGAGTCTCAAGAAGCCGTTTTCTCTTGTCTCCACCTTGTTAGATGTGCCTTTCACCTTCCTCCATAATTATGAGGACTCCCCAGCCATATGGAACTGTAAGTTCATTAAACCTCTTTCTTTTGATAAATTTCCCAGTCATGAGTATGTCTTTATCAGCAGCATGAAAATGAACTAAATATAATACTATTATTGCAACTTTGCTTAAAAGAAAAATCCAACAAAACAAACAGAACAAAATGATAACAGAAGTTACCTTCAGAAAAAAGGCTCATTAGTGCTTTTAATTTTATTTTACTTTTATGCATTTTGCTATTTTTACAAGATAAGAATATATTTTTAAACATTCAACACATAATAAAAGTATTTTTATAATTTGAAGTATTTTTTGGAAATAATTGAAAATGTATAAACAATCATTTATTCTTACCAGGTTATGCTCAAATATAGTTGAATGAAAATGGACACTTGACTTTATATAGCTTCTATCATACAGTTGCCATCAGAATTCTTCTATCTCTGTCTCTCCTATGTATGTCAGATGGAATCACAAACAACTAAAAATAAAAATATAATTGGAGTTAGAATTAATCAATAATTACACGTTTATTTTAATTTAGAGGTTCAGTGTATCTTTTAAAATTCTATTTATTCTTCTTGCAAATGTTTAAGAAAGTCATCAAATAATGAAGAAATAATGATAAAATATGTAAACATTTAGAAAACATTGTTACAGATACCTAGGTAATGAAAAATCGCAAGATTTCTAGATGATGTGTTAAATGTTTTAACTCACAGGTATGTTACTATTAAGGCTTGGTGATAGTTCTTTAACAATATATGCCTTTCCCCCTCAAGCAACAAAGTAGCCCCAACTATCTGTTTCACATATTATTTAATTAGACTAACCAAGCACATACACTGTTGATGATGATTAAGTAGGTAAAAACAAATTTTAGAAGACACTTGTTTATTTTCATTTTCATTCTACTTTGATTGCTATGGCAAGGCATTTAGATAGCTTATTCTTCTAATCATAATCATACTATAACTAGAATAGATATATTAATTGGTTAAGACTTTTATATTTTTATTCTAGTAAACAAAACAAAAAGGTCTTTCTGGGTAGATACAACAGCACAAATTATGTCTTCCTTTAATTCGGTTATTTCGAGTGTACATCTGACATAAATTCAAATAGTACCAGAAGAATTCACAGCATATATCTTTTGCCAAACCACTAAAAAGACCTGCTGTTTTTGAGGGAGGGGTAAGAATGGAGAAACACATCTACCTCTTTACCTCTGCCTCCCACCATAACATTGATACAAACTCCTTGATACAGACATTGATGATGTCACATCTATATTTTTGACTTTCTTAGACAAATCTCAAATATGATTTTATCCCTTCCTCTGTGTTTCAATCTAAGCCATCTGAATATTGTGAAAGCCATCTTTTTCCATCATAGCCACAATATTCTTCAGAAGCCTGTTGAGCTATTTTCTCATTCTATTTGTTTTCTTCTGCCTCAGCCTCTGGAGTAGCTCGGACTATAAGTGTGTGTCATCATGCCCAGCTAATTCTTGTCTTTTTAGTAGAGAGGAGATTTTGCTATGTTGGCCAGGCTGGTCTCAAACTCCTGACATCAGGAAATCTGCCCACCTTGGCCTCCCACAGTGATGGGTGGATTACAGGTGTGAGCCATCATGCCCAGCTTTTCATTTTCGAGGACGAAAGGATCTCAGTTTAGTTTGCTGTGGAGGCAAACACTGAGGTAATAACTTCAATGTGAGAAGTTTATTTGGGAGATGATCCCAGGAAACGCTATCAGGGATGAAAAGAAAGAAGTGAAACCTGTTACCAATGGAGATCATTATCAGACCTATAACACTATTGGCAACTGCAGCTTAATCTGAATGAGGAAAATCAGGCATCCAGTGTGTAATATACCCCTCAGATATACTTACTGTAAGAATGAGAGCTAACATATTTAGACACCAATCCTCATTAGTCATTAGCTGAGGGCTGCTCCCAGGGGCATTAATTCCCTGGAACTTTCAGCCTGTTTGGTTGGCAAAGTGGTCTCTTGTGGCCAAAGAATCCATTAGATAAAGAAATTCAGGATAAGCATTAGAAATTCTGCCAGTTTGCACTACAGCACTAAAAGGTTGTAGGCTGATCATCAGTAGCATCTACTACAGAAGGCAACAATTTTAATTTTGAATTAAAATATTAGCAGAGTATATTTTAAGGCCATATATTGATATTTTATAATTTTAGTGAAAAATAATGTTTGCTTACTCAGTAACATTGTTATTTATTAAGTCATGTTATTTTCTTAGCATTCACTGGATCTTAGCATGTATGAATATACAATTCATTTCACCTTTCTGCAAAATGTAGATGTTGTATCATCACATACGTCCAGCCCTAAAAATAGATGTGTTTATCCTGGACAGGAAATTTCAAACACAACACATAGCTAAAAGGTAAACTATAAAACTATGTCATGATTTCCACAGTCATTTATCAGATCATATTTTTCTTGTTTGTTGGTTTTAGATGAGAGAAGAGAACGGAAGAACAAAATTTGTTCTTTTTTAGGATGACACAGTTTTTCCATTTTTCTTGTGATAACTATTGATCTTGTGAACAGAAATTAGAGAGAAATAATTTGAGATAAATAATTGTTATCAAAGCTTTAAATACATTTCATTCCAAAATTTTATAAAAGAAAATATTTTTGTTTAAATAGTCAATTCAACTTAATCAAGATAGATAATTGTTAACAAAACTGCTCAATAGCTCTAATTCCAAAATTTAATAAAAGAAAACATTGTCCTTGAAATGGTCAATTCAATTTAATATCCCCATAGCCTTTATTTTTATCTTGGATTGACTGAAACCCAGTCATAATGCAGGAAATACTTTTGAAACTAGAATATTTTATGCAATGTGACAGAATAAAGAAGAGCACAAAAATACACACATCAAAATATAAGAACTAACTTATGCCTACTTCTTTCTTCTTGCAGGAAATGACATAGTTTCCAAATGGGATCTATTATTCAATGTCTGATATGATTATATTTTTCATAGAAAGAACACTTTGAATATTCCTGCAAAACCGAGATTGGCTTAGGGGCTGCTCTTTTGAATATATTTTTATTTTAGAATATAAAATCCTGATTTCCAATTCAAATGCTTCTTAAAATTTTAGTATGAATATAATATGCTCAATTTGATACTGTTTTGCCACCATTTATTACACATTTTCACACAATTTGAAGATGTATATGAAATTAAAGCCAACTATTTCTTTACTAAAACTTCCTTTATCCCCAACAGTACCTTTAAGAAAAGCATTATTAATGTTTCAATATGACTAAATGCTTCAATTTGATAATGTACCAGGTAAATGTTTAAATATTCCACATGCAATAAACTAAGCAAAACAAACAAGTTAGGTCAAATTGTATTTCTACTTGTCATCATATGAAATACAGATCACCATTATCGTGATCTTAAAATATTTTCAAAAACGTTATTCTCTTATTTGCCCGGGTCCAGGAATTTGCAAAATGTTTTAGGAGTTTTTCTGTTTTGTTTTTGTTGTTGTTGTTGTTGTTGTTGTTTTTAACCCTCTATAGGCTCCTAAATTCAAAATATATAAAATCAGATCTTGGCCCTGATTTTCTTTCCTATTTTTTATTTTTTTGTCCTCTGACTTCAAGTAGGTATGTAGTACAATCCCCACTAATTGCTCACTCATGAAATCTGGCATTATTAATCCCTCTTATTTCCCTTACCACCTACATGCAGTTAAATAAATTCAATACTATTTAATATGACAATCTCCAATTTGTTTTCTCTCCCAGTTTACACGCCCCACCTAGCCATCCCTAGCCAAACATAATTTCTCTAACAAGGAATTTGGCCATATTACCAAAGAACAAAGTCCAAATGCCTTTGCATGTCTTTAAGACACCTCAAATGTTTTCACCCCAATGTTCTAAGCAACGGGGTGCAAAAAATGAGAGATTAGGATGATTGTCTTAAGTAGCTTGGAGCAATCATTTCCTGTGTATTCTAGTCATCTCACTGAGGAAATGACATACAAATAGTCATACCTATATCCCTATACTTTAAGGAAAATAAAACTAGATAAGTAATTTTGTTCATTAAACCAATATTCACTGAACTGAATGCTCAGCTGTTTAGTTACTAGTGAGAGGAAAATAAGTCTGTATACTCCTTTGCATGCGTCAATGTGATAAGGACTATAAAGCAAGGTTAGGTGCTAAAGAAAAGTCTTCCTGAAAGACATAAGACTCATTAACCTTCAGTTCATAGAAGCTGTCCAGTAGGGAAGGTGGGGAAAGCCACAACTGGTAAAGGAAACATCAAAAACAAAGCCGCAGGAACAAGAACGAACACTCCATCTTCAAGGATAGGCTATTAGTATATTTGATTTTAAAATAGAATATGTATAGGTAACTCTTTCATATAAAACTTTAGTAATAAGATGAGACCACATCAGGAAGGCTCCTGACTGCCATGTTATAACATTTGCATTTTACCCTAAAAGTGATGGAAGTATGATTAAACAGGGAAGCAGTGCAATGAGATATGTGTTTTAGGAAGATCGCGTTGCCAATGTGGCTCTGAAGAGACATGAAAGGAAGGGGATGAGACAAGCAGATTACTTCTTAGAAATTTGTGTGTATCTTTTAGATGCTAATGCAAAATAGACTCAAGGCATTCATATTTATAAGATGTAAAACTGGAAAGATCTTTAAAATTTAATTTATACAGGAATAGAACCAGACAAAGATAGTTTTGGTCCTGGGTTTTTCTATTCCCAGAGAAATCAGTTAGGACCAAGAATTCATATCACCTGTTATTCTTCCAAATGCATTCTAAGTTCCATACCCTTAGTTTTCAGTATGGTAATGGAAAAAGTGATAGTGGATGAGGCATAACAAAATCTTCAAAACACATAAAAATTGTAAATTTATCCATTTAAAATCAAATTCAATCAATGCTTTCCATTGCATTTGATGAGAAACTTTCAGCAGTGCTTTGGAGCTCTCAATGACAGAAAATTTTTCTAATTAGAAAAAGTAGGAGAATAGTTATCAAGTCATTCACTCTTTTTGCTGAAATTAGTGGAAAACACAAATCACTTTCCTTGAAACATTTGGTTATTATCTTTTTTAGTCTAAATAGGTTAAGGTAAAGTCTTCTTTCTTTTTTAAGATTAACTCTTCAAAAGCTCTTATCTCTCAATATTAAGAGCTTCTTATGGAAAGCATAGTGTAGACACCGAGATAGATCAAAACTTGTGACATTTGGCCCCAATTAAAAAATTTACTTGATTTAATGAATGATATATAGCAAAGCTAAATTATTACCAGGGTAGAGGATCTTTTTTAATCCAGTGGGACTTTGAAGTAGAAAATAAATCTGACTAGAGAAAGGAAGGGTAATTCCAGCAATGTTTGAAGGAAGTAAAAACATATATATTACGTAATTATAGTGTGTGTGTGTGTGT